TTTTTTTTATTATAAAAGAATTCAAAAAATGGCATCATTAAGCGGACAAACGTATCAAGAGGAACTATTTTCGATGTTAAAAGAGCCGAATTATTATAATCAACGGGGTGAAATTGCTACATTTTATTCTGGAAAAAAAATTTTTATAACAGGAGGCTTAGGATTTATAGGGAGACTTATAATTGAAAAACTTTTGAGGTAAGAAGGTTTCATATATATTTTTGTTACCAATCAGAATTGTACATTAGTTATAAGTTTTCAATCACAAATTTTAAATAAATTTTGATAGAGATTCATATAGTTTGAAATAAATAAGAAAAATAATCTCTGAGTAATTTTTTTTTGCAAGATGCTTACTCGCTAATGACGCTCTTGTAAAAAAATTGTCAGTTGTTATATTTCTCCCATAGCCCATATATGGTTCTGTTCATTTTTAAAGTTACAAACTTCCAAAATGGGACCGATGATTCTCTCCCTTTATTTTTTCTCAAATATGGAAAGCCGTTTACTATATACTTACTATTTATATAGGAAGCTAACCAGAATTTTATGCCAAATTTGTMCGATTTTTCGGGCATGTATTAAGTAATACAAGTGTATGAGAATAACTACAACATGCTTTAGTAGAAAATAATTGTTCATATATAGCAAGATATGCACGTGGTTTATAACAGTTTTGACTATTTTCGATTAACTTGTATCAAACTACAGAAATCAAAGCGAATTTATTGTTTTCTAAGCATTTTCTTCGTTGATATTTGATATCAAACCGAATAAATCTCTTGATTTCTGTGGAATCATTCAGGCTCTTAGTTGACGAGAAAAATGACAGACCCCATTTCTTGTTCTATAATTGTCTACACTGTARAGATCCACAATTATATTGTACACTAGTAAAACAATTATTAGGGTGCGTTTTCTGAAGAATGTATTTTTATATAACATGAATTGTTTGAACGGTCAAATGACCGCTCGTGGTAGACTAGACATGGTATAAATTTTTTTCGGAAGATAAACAATTAAGAAAGTTGTGAATATTGAAAAATGGGTTGTGTGTATATTATAGGAAAAGTCAATAAGCTATATGGTGATACAGTAAAGTTGTATACGAGAAATTCTAAACGAAATTTAAAAAAGGGTCATTTGACCGCGCATGGTAAGTTAAGTGTTAAAGTCTATAAATTATTTAAACTTTTGTACCACAGGAATTTAAGCTTTTTATATAAAAAAGATAGCATAAAGTTTTTGTCATACAAAAAAATAGATTATTTTTTTAGCAAAAATAATTGCTAGAAAAAATATTAAATTTAGCAAACACTATCTATCTAAAAATACCTGTCTTTAAAAATAAACATAATTTTTCTTTATTTCTTTTATTTTCTATTTCTCTTTTTACTTCTATATGTAAACTTAGACAATAATTTTCTTTTGTATAAAAAATTATTTTTCGGCTAAAAACTTTTACTATAAATGCCATTGCTGCGGTTTGCAGATGCTGTCCAGGAATAHCAACGATTTATTTGCTGATAAGGGCAAARAAACAGAAGGATCCGCAAACTCGATTTAAAGAATAYTTCMATGATGTTGTGAGTAAAGTTACATACTTTGTACTAATTATTCTGGGAATAAAAGATATCACCGATATTACAATTTATATTTAAATCTTTAGATTTTTGATAGATTGAAGAGAGAGCAAAAAGATGTCGAAAAGAAGATTATTCTGATAGAAGGAGACACGAGTCAATTGAATATAGGATTGTCAGAGAGGGACCGCGAACGCATTAAAGATACCGATATAATTTTTCACTGTGCAGCATCCGTACGTTTTGCGGACAATATTCGTATTATAGTTAACATAAATATCAGAGGAACAAGAGATCTTCTCTTGCTTGCACAAGAAATGACAAGCTTAAAGGTACTTTTTTTCTAGTTAAATTATCCGTATACAAATGCGTATGTTTAAGCACAATTCCCGACTAGATTAATTTATTTAAATATAGACATAAGTTTAATTTAAAACAAATAAATTGTTTTAATTTTATAATAATTTTGTTTTTTAGGCTTTTGTTTATGTTTCAACGTCTTACTCGCACTGTGTATACAATAAAATCGAAGAAAAATTCTATAAGCCACCCATGAAGACAGAAGACATAATTAGATTAACAGAAATTTTGACCGAAGATCAATTAGATTTAATTACCCCAAAGTAATAAAACATGAGACYTATTGCATTCTTTTAGAAATAAGTCGATAAACATATTCGTTTGTTTTACAGGCTACTGGGTAAGTGGCCCAACACTTATGTATTTTCAAAGGCAATCTGTGAAGATACTGTACGGCAATATTCTAATGGAATTCCAACTTGTATCGTTCGGCCATCCATTGTTATCCCAACGGAAAAGGAACCAATTGCTGGTTGGATAAACAATTTGTATGGATTTACAGGTGTTATTTATGGTAGCTCGRMAGGTGTATTACGAACACTGTATTGTGATGACAACTTAGTCTGCGACATAATTCCTGCCGATTATGTTGTCAACAACATTATTGCTGCAGCATGGGACGTGGGACAAAAACGGTAATTTGTTTTTTCTTTTTTGAATTACCTCTAAAATCAACTTTTTGTTCAACTTTTAAAATAAAGTTTACAGTGAGTAAGAAAGGGCTCTAATCGTAGATCAATATCACGTGGTGTTAATCTTTTCAGCAGAGATAACAAATACTTACCCGTTGACGATGAGATTCCAATTTATAATGCTGTTTCCTCCATTCAAAGACCAGTTACTTGGGGAATTATGGAAAATTATCTAAGAACTAGCGGATTTGAAATTCCGTCGAAAAAAGTGTTCTAGTACTACAGCTTATGGTTTAACACGAACTATTATTTCCATATTTTTTTGACAATTTTTTTTTCACTGGATACCAGCAATTATAGCGAACTCCTTATTATATCTCAGCGGAAGAAAACCAATGTAATGTATAACCACATCTAGATTTATTATTTGCCTATAAAAATAAACATTATTAAGTTAGTTGTTTTTTTTAGATTGCTTAACATCTTCAGAAAAATAGATAAGTTTAAACATGTAATTAATTTCTTTAYAACTAAAGAATGGGAATTTACAAACGATAATGTATTGATGTTATGGGACAAATTATGTGTGGTCGATAAAAGTAACTTCTTCTTCAATGTTGCTGATATTGATTGGGAGTGTTTTTCTGTTACTTACATGAGGGGTATTCGAGTATTTTTAGCTAAAGACCCGATGGATACCATTGAAGAATCAAGACCTTTTTATAGAAGGTAAATTTTTTATTATCTTGTTTTTAAAACAAATATTATTTGTATACCATTGAAAATCAATTATCGTTTTTATTGTTTATAATTTCTAGGTTGACAATAGCTCATTATAYGWTGAAGTGGTTCATTTATTTTTTGATTCTTTGGATTTTATATTGCTTATTATATTCTCTTTTTACTTACATATTTTATTTTTGACAATCTGTGAAAAACGACGTTAATTATTATCAGATAAAATAGGKTAATTATTTGTTTACAATATAAGTATTTTTTCCTATAGTTTTGAAATATTTTTGCTTTTAGATGCATTGACTTTATTTTTTAACGAGAAGACGTCTACATGTTAAAACTTTTAGCAATTATATARAAGTTGGGATCCGTTTTTATAGTTCAAATATTATTTGGTGGTTATAAGTGGAATGAAAAAATTTTTAATATTTTTACTTAGAAAGATTAATAACGTAGAAAACATGTAAATGAAAAAAAATAAGAATTTATCAATCGGTCCTCTCTTATGAAGAATACAATAACTGCAAATAGTGCCTCATAAGAAGAAATTCCTTAACTCTTATATAACTATTAACCTCTTAGGCACTACGCGCCATTATAATGACATTCGCAGATTACATCTTTTAAAATATATCATACCCCTAATTGTATTATTAATTATTAAAGTTAATTGTTAAAGTTAAAGTGTATGCAATATATTTTAAAGAAAAACTAAAATTTAATCATTAAATACTTTATTTTAATATACTCGCTTAGAGAATGGCATTATCTGTTGAACACTGCTATACAGAAAAGCAGCTCCGCGCAAAATTCAGGTGTACCTAAGAGTTTAAAATAATGCAAATAATATGTGATTACAAATGTTGCATCTATAATATTTTTATTTATTTAACAGAAAATCTTTACATGTACAATTGATTAAAAATAATATAAATGGACCGTTTATTTTGAATGTGATTTAAGTCCATTTAAAAAAAAAAGAGATATCACGTAATTTATGCTTAATTTAATGTAAACTTTTTATGAATAACTAGTTAATATTTAATGTCTTAAAATGTGCCCATGTTTTGTACAATTTAAAATTGGTCGGTAGAAGAAAATGAGTAATCATTAATGTGATAATCTTTCATTTTCYCGAAACAAGAGAAAATGGGCTTACACCACTTTCAAAAAAAAACGGTCTAAACGTTTTAATTAAAGTAAAAAAGTTATGACTGTCCATGTATTTGATAAACATTCAATTATCGATACTGAATAGCTAATTATATGTGACAAAAAAATGATGGTCGAGATTAAGAAATATTTTTATCAACTTTTTGTATTAACTAGTGTATACATTATTTGAAATATACTATATAATAGAAATATTCTATGCCTAATACTTAGAGAAGAGCTGAAAGTATCAAAGTCCTTCCTATAGATCGCTGAAAAACTCAGAGCCTCACATGCAGTGGAGAAAAAAATAATATCTTGTCATCCCTACACGGAACAATAGGCCTGTTAATAGTTAAACAATTTTTGTGCGCATGCCTCAAGTTCCGCCACGTCTTTCGGGCACTTTATACGTGTATAAGCAGTGTATACAATGTTTTTTAATGTAAGTAAATGAAAAAAATATTTAATTATCAATTAATTATTATAATTCAATAAATATTCAATTATTAATAATTAATAAATATTTAAATAATGCTGTGAAGCAGGAAATCAATGTATATGATGTTAAAAGCAAGAAAAGTAGCGAAAAAACGTTGTTATGGATTATGTCGCAGTGATACTCGTAGTAAGTCATTTTTGGAGAATTTATATTATTTTACTAGTTTCCCGAAGCCTCGTTTCGAATATCGTCAAAAATTTATCAAATCAACAAAACAGAAACATAAAAATTTGTCCAAAATGTGCTAAATGTGATTTGTGGGTTAAAAGATGTGGAC